CTAGGGATCGAGGGCCAGAAATTTTTCCGGAAAAATATGAAATTTTTCCATATTTTTCGGAAAAATTTCCCAAGCCATATTTTTCAATGCATGGAAAAATATATTTTGTTGTCTTTTTTAAGTGGTTTAGGCGGTTGCTAACAGCTTCTTCTAGTTTTTTGGGTGGCACTGATGAGAGATTTAACAATACAGTGAAATATATCAGTAAAAACTTTCTTTTGTTGATGTTTTGTTTCACAAGTACTCTCTGGCAATGAATCACAAAGAAAGTTTAAGTTTCAGTATCTATCCTCCAAGCAGTGTTTCTTTGGCATAATCAGTCTCATGTCCTGAAAGAGTCGAATAGGTGGGCCTGTCTCCGCACATCTACACTGAGCTCAATAAATTCGCACTTGTCAAGCTCACCCCCCCCCAAAAGAAAAACAACAACAACAACAACTGGCCAAACCGTCGCCCTGTAGTTATTTCGGTTTCGTTCGCGTGATGGCGCAGGCCGCGCGCATCTTTGAAAGGTGTTCGCTTGCGCTTTCATCAAAGACCTAGTCAAAATAACGGGAGTGTATAAAAAACCACTTAAAATAGAGAAAGGGCCGGAACGAATGTATTTTTCATATTTCATATTTCTATGCTAGCCAGAAGATGTCGCCTATTGCTTGCGAGGCGACACGATGCGAGGGTTACTTACAACAGAATGAGGTCATCAATAAGGAGAGCTGCTGACCCGCTTCACCTGCCACGAGTCCCACAGTCCATCCATGAGCTGGGCGCTCTCATGACTACGTCGCCAAAGTCGATGTACTGCATGATCGTTATCGGCACTGCGTTGATCGCGCCAGCACTAGCGCCTGTGGTCATTGTCCTGAGGCGTCTCGCGTAACGCAGCCTGGGCTCCTCCCCGTTGGAGGGGCATTGGCCCAGGGGCGGCCACGGCCACCCCAAGACTTGATGGCACTTCTTTCTATTGGATGGTGCTAGCCAGCAGACTTCACGGCATTTCGCTCGATGTCCTCGAGTTGCTGCGGCCCGCCAGTGTTCACTGGCAGACTGGCCGCGCCTACAGGTGGTCCTTTACACTCTTGTTTGTTTGGATAATAGTTTCTGTGCTGAACTTGTACCATTTACATTGTACTGTCTAGCGTGTAGCCGTGACTGTTTGGCCTCTTGTAACATCTGATTAATAGTTTGTTTTGCTGTGAATATTTAAGTTACATGTTCTGTAAGTAGCTATGTGTGAATTCTTTTGGATGGTATTGTAATCTTGTGCAATTTTGCCATTGCTCATTTCACTGATAAACAATGATATATTGTATCTCTTCATTCTTGACAACTTATCTCTCTTCATTGCCCACAACTTGTACTGGTCAAACTTTGTAGATTGTATTTAAAAAAAAAATGAAACAATAAATTTGTCATCTGCTCTGATCCTTGAAATTTTATTAAAATTTAAATTATCAATTTTATTAAAGTGTTACTTGGATTTGGTTGTGACACTCACTCTCGTCTGCCGCCCTTATTGATGCTGGGGTAGTACACTCCTGATAAAAGAAAATGAAAAGAATAAATTGCATTGTTACAAATCTCAAACTCCCAAATTCATCAAGGTATAATCAAGCCCCATTGGCAGAATATGGCAGTGGTGGGTTTCCTATGCCCACAAAGTTATTTTTGATGAGGGCCCTGCCGGCGCTGCAGGCCAGAGGTAGGGCCGTGAGGCTGTGCAGACACTGTGCCACAACGCGTGGTTGACATTCTGGACATTTGTCTCCGGAGCAGAGCAGACCCACACTTGGCTGCTGCAGCCTAACGACGGGCACGACGCGCTGCTGCACTGTGAAACCATGGAGCTTCAGTCAGTGAGACAATCGCTGCTATGGCCCACCCTAGCACTCTTCCCTCCCAGCTCCTTGCCTTCCTTGCACATTATGGGAGCTCGGCGCCTGCGACACATAGGATAGGCCACCCTGCAGTACACGCATGCACTGCACACAAGATGTTGCCTTCCCTTCAGGCGCTATTGGAGCTTACAGAGGCTACAACTGGAAGTTGCGTACCGGCGAAATGACGGTGAGATGATCCCTGCTCAATTGAGCTATGCCCTCCCCCCCCCCCCCGACTCGGCGATTCTCTCTGCGCTCGGCACGGCGCATGGCGCAAGCCCAAGCATGCACGGGGGAGACGATAGTTGTTGTCGGCCTGGATTCGATCGTGCCCTTTCCCTAAACTATCGATGTTGCCTTACCTTGTCGCCCGACAGGGTCGCGGTAGGTGGGCGTGCCTGCCCGCCACTCAAGCATCCGCAGGTACATCGCCTTTTTCCGCTGCAGGCTCAGTATGAGGTGCTCCAGGAGCGCAACCTCCTTCAAAAGAGAACAGCAGTACCTTAAATCAGTCGCTACCTATATGTACCGAGTACACTTAACTGGCAGGTACTTGCCTCTAAATGTTGAGAGCAAGCTTTATCAAGCTGCTCTCGGTTTGAAGCCATTGCGTTCATTTACTCAAATTGCCACAGTTACCAGCGAGTTTGTATCAGGGGTGGAAAATCGGAATTGAATTAATCGAAACGGAGCGATACTGCATAGTTCCGTTCCATCGGAACTATTCCAAGGAACAAAACGAAAAGGAACGGAACTAAACCAAGAACAAAATCTCAGCGAATAAAACTGAGAAAAACTGCCAGGAGTTAAACTGTGTTTCGATTCGATCATTTTTGTTCGTAAGAGTAAAACATAGTTCCTTCCTTTTGGTGACGTCGTTGGAAGAACAAAACGTATCGATCCCTCGGGGATAGTGCATACTGCGAGGGGTCCCCCACCCCCACTCGCCAACTCGTTGTACACATGCCGTACACAACTACCGCCTAACTCGCGTTCAACTTGCGAAAAGTCGCAAAAACCCGCAAAAACTCGCGCCAAAATCGCGCAAAACTCTCTAAAAACTGATTCGAACTCGCGCCCTACTCGCGGCAACTCGCAAACTCGTTGTACACCTATTTTG